TAAACATAGACTCACTGATTTGACTAGACTGATAGTCAGTAAGCCCCAGGGTTCCTCCTTTCCTCAGCAGCCTAGCCATCAGCTGTGCCTGGCAAAGGTAAGCTAACTGGGTAGGCCAAGCACACAGGATGGGATCTGTAACTTCATTCTGTCCACCCAGGACACTGAAGGGCCAGTGACAGGCTCTGATTCCAGCTTGCAGTGTCTTGGGTCTTATATCTAGAGATTATCTCCTGTCTGGAGATTTTTGCATGAAAAAAAAAAAAAAACAAACGTTCTAGCTGTACTGAAAGTGGCAGTGATATCTGTACTTATCAGGCACTACTGTGTGCCTTATCAGAGCCTGTGAACATTGCCAGGACTCCCATCCTGCAGAAATGTTAGGGTATTGGAGTATTTTGCTAGGGTAGTCAGGTGCCTAGAGCAACTTGCCATTGAATCCAGGACTGTGATTTACTAATGATACCTCTGTCTCTTGAGTCTCTGGAAGCACTGACTGTGTATCACTGACAGATTCCAGACCATACTTGGTGCCTGTGACATGGTAACGATGTGGGGTATTGTCTTGGTTAGTTTTTTTTTTTATCAACTTAACACAAACCTAGGCATATCAATAAGAAGGAATCCCAATTGAGGAACTGCTTCCATCCAGTTGACTGGTGGGCATGTCTGTGGGAGTATTTTTGTGATTGCTAGTTGATATAGGAGGGCATGGCTAGTGATCCAGAAAAGAGCTTTCTGCAGTGGCTGCTGCTTGAAGTTCCTGCCCTGGCTTCCCTTGATGGTGGACTGTAACCTGTAAGATGAAATAAACCCTTTCCTCCCTGACAAGAAGCAAACTAGGACAGGGATATTTGCTTGTCCCCCATTGATCGACAGTGCTATTGATGGCAGAGTCTACGTGTGGCTGCAGCATCCTTTCCATGCTGAATATGAACCCTAAAGACCGTGGAGATGTTTTTGTCATTCCTGCGGGAGATGGATGCAATCACTGCACCAGAGATGGATGTGGTGTTATACATCTTCTCTCCTGAGTTGTGGGTGATCTCCTCCCACCCTGCCTCTGATTGACTGGCCCTGCTGCCTGCAGCTTCAGGGACTGCGCTCTTCTGGCAGCCTCAGGGTTTCCTGGAAACCACGTCTTCCTGTGCCTAGAGCCAACTCATTACCTGGCTCCTTGGCTTTAGCCATGTCTGGCTCCCAGTGGGCTTGTCATTTCATAAGTGAGTTTTCCTCACTTTGAGCTAAGGGCTTGCTTGGGGATGCTTTAGGACCTCAGGGAATGCTTCCAGGAGCTGTGGCCTGGCTCCTCTGGCCCTCTGTGCCAAAGAGAGTGTCTGCTCCTGCCTGGCACAGGATCAGTGGTGGCTGGTTGTGCTGGCTTCCAAGGCTGGAAGTGATAAGAATGTGATGCACATGGTAGAATGAGGCCAGACACCCCCTCCTCCTGAAAATCATCCTTCTTGAGTTGTCTTCCTAGAGCCCCTTATGGTTAGTATACAGTGTTTTCTCTATACACACTTCATTTTGAAGAACAAACTCTTTGAGGACACTTAGTCTAAGAATACTTTGTCTTTACTGAATTTAGGTTTTTGTCCCTTAACATAATTCACTAAAGATAAAAGGAGGCAAAGGGACTAACACAGATTTAGTCATTCATTATTCCTGATAGATGGATGACTGTGTAATTATTGGTGTGTAATATTGTTATAAGCAGATCCTTTAAGTATCACTGATGAGAGGAAATTAGTGAGTGGCTGCAAATGTCTGATAGAGGCTAACTAGAAAGCTAGCTGCCTCGTTGTTATGGGGCGGGGCACTTTCAGTAGCTTCTTCATGAGCTCAGCATGGGCTCTGTCCTGCATCCAGAAGTGGTGACTTGGTCAGTGTCCCAGACATTGCTGTTGATTCATGTGAAGGACTTACCTGAGGAAGAAGCTTTCAGTTGAGTGTGGATAATGTTTTATGATCAACAGGATTTGAAGTTTTAGGATGTGTATATGTAAGTAAAGTGACAAAAGTTACAAGTGGTGACCTGATATTTGTTGTCTGCATCTCTGTAAATCGTAGGCTTGCAATGGCATAAGCCACTGTCTGACCCTCTCACTGGCTGACCACCTTCAGTAACCAACACTGACACTCACGGTTTCCTAGGTTCTGTGACGGTTTTTCTTGTAGCTCTTGAGGTGGGGCTTTGCAGCCCTCAGCCAGGCCCTGGAACCTGGACTGGACTGGGTGCTCCATGGTGTCCAGGCTTGATGCAGTCTGAGGAGATCACAGTCTGCAGACCTGCTTCATGCTTGGGAGGCTGGCCATTTTGATTTGCACTCAGTGTCTGTGGTTTGCTTCCTGCTGTATGAGTATATCCATGAAATATATCAATTTTTCTTTAAGTAGATTTATTATCTGAAATATTCATTGGAGCCGGCTAAGTAGTACAGCTCTTGGAACAAATGTACTGAGTCCAGCTTGTCTTCATAAATCTGCTAATGCCAACGGGATGCAGTTGTTGCCTGGGAAGCTTGGGTGATGTGAGGCTGCTGGGGGAGTAAGAGGGCTGCTGACAGCACTTTGCTTCTCTGGGCTTGGCTGTGGCTGAGGCAGGTCCTTTCCACATGTATATTCCCCCACCACACACACATACACCACACACACACACACACACACACACACACACACACACACACTTTCTTGCCTGTTCCATTTGCTCTCTATGAATGGAGATGTCTGCTTCCTGAGAGCCCTCTTGTACTTCAGCATCTTGTCTGACTCCAGCCGGCAGTGATGGTCTGGAGGTGTATGAGGGTGTGCTGGGAAAGCTGTCCCATGAGTGATACCTTATCTGTGGGAAGAGATTCAGGGGACAGGCAGGGACAGGCTGTGAGGCTGATGGGTGAGAACCCTAGTGGCCACCACAAGGGTAAGTGTTGCCATTCCTGTGTTACCCACAAAGAGACCAAGGCTGTTGCCCGAAGTGTGGTTCCTTCAGGTTACAAACCCATGTCAATGACCTGGCGTGAATGTAGCCAGCTGTTACAGGGCAGGGGACAGTCATAGGCAGTGAAGCTCCATGTGAAATGGGGTGCAGGAGGGGCCTGGAGCTTCATGGTGGAAAAGCTGGAGGGAAGGCCCGGAGAGGGAGTTCCACACATGGCAGGAGCGAGTAAAGGGGCGACTGATGGGGTGGGATGAGGGTGATGGTTCAGTTTCACTCAGTCATGAGTGTAGGGGAGGAAGCTTAGAGCCACCGTTGCAGGCCTTGCTGGGGAATTTGGAGGTCTGGAAGCTAAGAAGACAGATACAGATCTGTGCATTTGGAAAATGACTGCGATGTGTGAACAGATGCTCAGAGGGGATGAGGTTAACCACGCAGGGAAGCCACAGGGCAGGGCCACAGGCTACATAGATGTGGGAGAGATGTAATTTGGGGTTAGTGTTGAGAAATAGCAAGACCTGGACTAACTGAGAGGCCATAGAAATAATGGCCAGAAAATGGATGAAGGAAAATAGCACCTTGGAAGCAAAGTGTCAAGAAACAGAACAAAGCTTTTACAGACAGGTGCAGGATTTAAAGTTGTGCGGATCTGACACCAGGGAGCAATAACACGTGATAAACTAAATGGGGTTTCTCACTGTTTTGAGACAGGGTCCTATTCTGTAGCACAGGCTGGCCTTGAACTTATAGTAATTCTTCTGCCTCAGCATCTTGAGTGCTAGAATTCATAGGAGTGACCTACCATCCTGGATAAATTAAGCTCAGTATTGTTTTAGAAATTGAAAGAGAATGAGGACAGAAGTAAACATGAACTCAAAGGGATGTAGTTTAGAGAGAAATAAGAAATATTAGCATCTAGAACAAGAGCAGACCCCACTGGAGGGGGAACCAATGATGCAGGGCCGGGCATGATGGCCAAAGGCCCTGCAAGTGGAGGGAGTGTGGTGACACGGAAAACCCGGGCAGAGCCTTGGGCAGGGAAGAAAGTAAATAGGCGTGGAGCTCACCAGTTTGAGAGTGTCTCAGGCAGTGCCCACATCTGACCTTTCTCCTGCTTGCATGACCACTATCAACACAAAGGGAGCCAGGTTTTTCCTTCCTTCCTTCCTTTCCTCGCTTCCTTCCTTCCTTCCTTCCTTCCTTCCTTCCTTCCTTCCTTCCTTTCTTTCTCTCCTCAAGACAGGCTTTCTTTGTGTAGTGTTGGAGCTTGTTCTAGAACTTGCTTTGTAGACCAGCCTGACCTTGAACTTACAGAGATCTGCCTGCCTCTGCCTCCCAAGTGCTGGAATTAAAGGCATGAGTGTGCTGGGAGCCAGGTGTCTTTCTTTTTTGTTGTGTTTTTGTTTTTGTTTTTGTTTTTGTTTTTGTTTTTGTTGTTGCTGTTTGTTTTTTCGAGACAGGGTTTCTCTGTGGCTTTGGAGCCTGTCCTGGAACTCCTCGAATTCACAGAGATGGACATGCCTCTGCCTCCCGAGTGCTGGGATTAAAGGCGTGCGCCACCAACGCCCGGCTTCTTTCTTTTTATTGAGAACATTTTTTTATTCTTTAATTACTACTCATATTTACATATCCATCCCCCCATTCCCTTGCCCCCCATCCTCCCATGTTCCCATCCCACCCCCCAACTCCTCCCCAGGGATAGTGAGGCACACCATAGGGGACCTTCAAAGTCCATCATATCATTTTGGGGAGGGCCTAGGCCCTCCTGGGAGCCAGGTTTCTTGTCTTGAAATTTGAAACTAGAAAGCATCCTGGGAGCTGGACCCACTCCTGTCCTTCTCCAGCTTGTCCACTGTCCTGTCCCCAACAGGGTTCCTGTCAGCATAGCCAGCCCCTGTGCTACCTGGGCTCCCCTCCTCATTGCCCTTCCCCACTTCCTTTGCCCTCAGTTGCCCCCCCCCCCAGCTCCTCGGAGATCTTGGCTCTACCCTGGGCTCATGTGTGTATTTGATGTTGAGAACTCAAATGACTGGCTAACTCGGGGTTCTTCTGCTCCCCACTACAGGTCATCTTCCACGATGTTGCTGTGCTGACAGACAAGCTCTTCCCCATTGTGGAGGCCATGCAGAAGCACTTCAGTGCTGGCTCGGGGACCTACTACAGCGACTCCATCTTCTTCCTCTCGGTTGCCATGCACCAGATCTTGCCCAAAGGTAACCTGGACTGCTGGGAGCGATGGCCCTGGGGGGTCAGACTCTGTGCACTTCTGGGCTCAGTATGGCTGGTGCCCTGTTTGTGAGGAAGGCATTGGCTGAGGGCCTCTTTAGAGCCAGGTGCCTCTTTGTCCACTTGCTAGATCTCCTAATCTTTGGAATGACACATAAACCAAGACATTGCCATCCATTTACAGCTTATGCAGTCATTCAGGTGGCAGAGCTGGAATTTGAAGTCATGGCTCTCTGATTTAGAATCCTGCCTCTCAGATAGCTTTCTGTCCTTTCAGGTGACCCACATAAGAGCTCTCTGGGGATGCCCAGACAGATGTAGCTCCTGTTCCCGTAGAGTCCTAGCTTGGGTTCTGACCTCTGCTCTGCCATCAGCTGTGTGCATGGGGCCGAACCAGTCAGTGAGCTGTTTCAGCCTGCCTTCTGCGGATGCCGGGCCTGAAGGGATGCTCCACCATTGGAGTAGTCCTGGAGAGTTAGGAGTCATTCTGTCTCCATCCCACCTCTCTTGACTGTGCCCTACTCTACTCCGAGAAGCTGTTGACTGTTACCACCACCATCTGCCATGCATTAGACTTTGGAGTAAGTTTCTATCTGATCACAGGGTTTCATGGTTAAACAAGTCTCCAACAGGCAACTTGATGGGCCAGGAGTGCCTGGCCAATCTCATCCTGCATCTGTGACTGGCTGTGACACCAGAGGACATCAGGTTGGGAGCAAGCATGCTGTCCTTGCTGAGTTCCTCTCCCTCTATCCACCAGCAGGTCCCTGAACACTAGGCCAGTGTGTGTTTTGGGGTACCCAGTGTGTGACAAAATGCTCCTTTGCTTTGCAGGGAAGGGAAGGTGCCTGTTACCCCAACTCCCTAGCCTTGTGAGAAACCAGGCAGTGAATCCCAGAGGGCCTGGGGAATCTAGTAGATGCTGCTAGTATCCTCTCCCCTAGCTTTACAAATGGAGACAGGCAGAGAGAAGGCTACTAAGCACTTCCCCACCAGCTCTGCTATGGGGGGCATGTCTGCTGAAGAAAGCTGTGGTGGGGCCTGTGCTAGAAACCTGGTGTGGGGCATGGGCCATCTGGGCTCTCCTGGCAGGTTAGGACCCTCAGGTACCTTATGGGAAGTGGAAAGAGCTCTCTTAGTCCAAATACCCAGGGTTGTCTAGGTTGTTTAGCCAAATGCTAATGTGCTTCCAGAGATTTATTCTTGCATATGCCCAAGAAGAGTCACTAGGCCATACTAAGTCTCTGTGGCGAGAAAGCAAGTGAGCAGTGTTGTGCTTCCTGTGGTGTCCAGACTGTGCTCTGCCAGGAAGTCGGCTGCTGCAAGAATCCTGACCCTGTTGCCACAGTCTGGTCCAGCTGAACAGGTTGTTTGGAGTCCCTGCAATTTTTGAAGGAGCACTTTGTTTTCAGACATCATGAACTCTGTCCTGGGTTGGTTCTTTATTGCTGTTCTTTGTGTTTCTGTGTTCATTGTAGACATTACTGTTATGCTTTGGTTGGTGGCTTTGTTCCTGTGTAACTTCCGTGTTCTTGCTACTTTGGTTATTTAGTTATTTAGTTTGTTATTTAGTTTGTTTATTTAGTTTGTTATTTAGTTATTTAGTTTGTTTCCAGGCAGTCTTTTTCCTTTCTTCGGGAAAGTGAAAATGGGCTGTGTGGGGCCTGGGAGGCAGGATTTAGCCTGTGTTCCCAAAGCTTGTGTTTGGACTTAGTGACCAGAGTTCCAGAGATGCCAGCTAAGTCTCTGTGAACTGTCTGCCTACCTTTTTGTTTGTAGTGTGAAGGTCACTTCACATACCTAAGGGACTTTAAAAGTAAGTTTTTTCCCTTGTTTTGGGGCCCTAACGAGGTCTTCATGTGTACTAGTCACATGCTTTCCCACCCGAGTTACACCCTTAACTTCTTTTTCTTTTGTTTTTTCTTTTGGTTTTTCGAGACAGGGTTTCTCTGTGGCTTTGGAGGCTGTCCTGGAACTAGCTCTTGTAGACCAGGCTGGTCTCGAACTCACAGAGATCCACCTTCCTCTGCCTCCCGAGTGCTGGGATTAAAGGCGTGCACCACCAATGCCCGACCCTTAACTTCTTTTTCAATCCAAAAGTAAGATTCATTTATAAAGTATCTGCGAACAATAAGAAAATAGAAAAAAGTTTTGTTTTTATACCTCATGATGTCAGCATCAATAATTCCTGCTATTTTCTAGTATTTCCCTGACACATAGCATTTTAAAGGTTTGGGCAAGATGGGAGTTAGCTTTGTTCAAGTGCTCTGAGTCTTCCTGATGTGTCGAGATACAAACTGAGCTTTCATTTTAACTCAAAAGAACAAGCAAGCGATAGTATCAGCAAAGCTGTTAATGTCCCAACTCCCCATGTCATGTATAAGTACAATCTTTGAAGGTTTCCCCTGAGTTGTTCTGTTAACTAGATGAAGCTTGGTTCACTTTATTTATTTTCCCGTCCTGGGCTGGCTCAATGCTTCCTATTGCCTCTTTAATATTATAAATGAGATGATGGCAGATGTCCACATGCAGAAAGGAAAGATTATCTTCTCTCCTTAAGATTGGTTTCCCCATGACATCTTCCCAGGGTGGCATTACCAAGCCAAAGGTGATCCTTACAAAGCCAGGTGTGTCAGCCCCCAGTGTGGCTTGCATGAGTAGGTTCTGGGCTGCTTTCTTGGCCCAGGATGTCTGACCTTTTGTGGAGCTCAGTCAGCTCCTGTCCTGATTGACAGGAAAAGAAACCTGCTGAGTCTTGGGTGAGGTGGGTCTCTCCTGTGCTTTTATTCCAATGTCCATATCTGAGTTCTACCTCATCTACCTGCACAGTCCTGTGAAGCTACCAGATCTTGATCTCCACCCCCTCCTCTGCTCTAACCCTGCAGAATGGCCTGACTGGGATAAGGGTGGGGAAAGCAGCCCCATGTTCCGTGCACTAACTGTCCCCTGGGAGCAGTGTTATGAAAATCAGGCTACAGAGTAGTGCCCCAGGAAAAACAGAAGGGCAGGCCAGGTGTGGCGTGCTGGCTTTGAGTTTTCTCAGCCTTTGTTTTTCTTTTGCTTGCTTACGGGGTCACATGTGACTAGCTAGCCCTTCCTGCTGTTTACACTTGCTGTCCCTCCATGGACCTGTGGCCACTCTCTGCCCCTCCTCATCCTCAGGGCTTTTCTCTCTTTCTCTCCACGGTGTCAGCTTTGTCACCATTGAAAGCATTTTATACAATAACAATACAAATCTGTGCCTAACTGGAGCTGCAGGGAGCGAAGAGCAGCTCCTTTGGGCATGCTAGTGTTTCTGTCCCATGTGACAGGGCCCTGCGGAGCTGTCAACTTGGCATAGTGACATGCCAGTGAAAGCAGCTTTTGCAGCCTGAGCTGGGATGTGTGATTTTTGTGGTATGGCAAGGTTCTTCCTGGCCAGGGCAGGCAGATACCAGACAGTCAGAGCCTCCATGTGGTCAGAGGCCCCAGGACCCTTCCCTGGTCTACTATGAACCCTGGAAGGCACTCCTGCTCTGGGGCAGTCAGTGTCATTGGCCTTTGCTAAGGGTCTGCCATTTGTAAGGCAGGATCCAGCCACTCTACTGTCTCAGGGTGTTTTGGCAGACCGATGCTTGGGCTCAGGTTGAATGGAGTGAGTGGCCTAGTCTAGTAATCAGGACAGGTGGCATGAAGATCTGCCAGTTCTGAGGGTTTCGGAAGAGGATAGGTGAGGCATTTTGCAGGAAGGCTTCATGGAGGAGGTGATACTTGAGATGAACCTTGTAGATGTTGTTTTTACCTCATGGAAGTGATAGTGAGTGGTTTAGGCAGACATGACAGTTGGGAAGGCTGGAGGTGCATACTGTCCATGCTGAAGAAAGTATCAGGCTACCTGCTGGACAGTAGTGAGGTGGGAAGTTAAACCTGGGGAGGCTGCCTGTGATGGGGGTTGGCCCTGGGTGTAGGAGACGGTCTTTAGGGCATTCTTGATAAAGAGGGTTCTGATGGGCTGTGTGCGTTAGGAAAGCTGACATTCTTCAAGATTTGGATGCTGGGATCTAGCTGCATACCTTTCTGTGTGGCTGTGGCCAGGCACTGTGGGAACTGGAGAGACTAGTGGGGGCCTGGCCTCAGCAACAGATATGTTAAAGGGTGTACTTATGGGTATATGGCTTCTCTATGAGCACCTGTGTATGCGTGGATAATGAGGCAAGCACCCTGAAACCTGACTGCCCCCAGTATATAGTCTCCATTGCCACCGATCCAGGCCTGGAGGGCTTTTGCACTGTTTGCCTTGGGAACATTTATGAACTTTTTTCCAGACAAAGTTTTATTTGCTATAGACCAAGCTGGCCTTGAACTCAGAGAGATCTGATTGCCACTGCCTCCTAAATTCTGGGATTAAAGGCAAGTGCCATCGCTTCCGGCCTCACTTGCTCTGTATTAGTCAGGGTTGTCTAGAGAAACAGAACATACGTGTGTGTGTGTGTGTGTGTGTGTGTGTGTGTGTGTGTGTGTGTGTGTGTGTGATTTATCAGAATGACTTACAGGCTGTGGTCCAGCTAGTACAATAGCTGTCTATCAATGGAAGGTCTAAGAACCCTGTAGTTGTTCAGTCCATGAGGCTGGATGACTCAGCTGGTTTTCAGAGTACATTGGAATCCTGAAGAAGTTGGCTCTAATGCCAGTGAAGGAATGAACTTGCCAGTGAGAGTGACAGCAAGCAGGCAAAGAGAGAGCAAGCTTCCTTCTTCCATGTCCTTTATGTAGGCTGATAGCAGAAGGCATGGCCCAGATTATAGGTGGATCTTCCCACCTTAAAGATCTGAGATTAGAAGTTGGTCTTCCCACTTCCAATATTTTAATTAAGAAAAAATAATCCCTCACAGGTGTGCCTAGCCATTTGGATTTTAGTTAATTCCAGATGAAGTCAAGTTCACAACCAGGTCTCGCCATCAAGTGCTCTATGATTTCACAGGTGGGATAGTTATGAGGGGGTGCAGCA